AAAAAAATCATTAAAAAAATCTAGTGATGTTAGAATATAGTATTGAAATGAAAAGATATTTTATAAAATTAATAAACAAATTAAAACTTAATATATGTACACACACTTCTAAAAAGAAGTTAAAAATAAACAGAGACAAGATTTTATTTAGATCCATAGAGTACAATTTTATTTTTTAAAAAAAAATCTTTAAATGTTTTTAAGGAAAATTAACAAAAAAATTATTCTTGAATTTCAAGATCCCCGCATGACCACTTAAATAAATAAAATTTCAGTTTAGGTATAGGTGACCAAATTGGTATTTGTAAATTTACTGAAATAACCATATTACTCTTTATTTTTTTTTAAAAAATCAAGTTTATTTCAGATAAAGTAAATGAAGACAAAAACCTTAATATTTTTATCACTGAAGAAGAGCTCACTTATAGTAAAGAACAATCAAATATTGCTGATCTTGATGAGATGAAGATAAAGATAATAATTATGTGTTGATATTGTTAATCTTTAACTGCTATGTTTTATCTTTCTGTTTTCGTGTTTTGTTAGATTTTGATTTTTTTTTTATTTTGGACAATAGTTTATTGGCATTTAATTTTTTTTCCTATACACCACTAATTTATTTTACTTATATTTATAATTTGAATAAAAAATCTTAGAAGTTTTGTTGTTTTATTTTTTATTTTTAAAATAATTAAATAGAATTTAAATTTTAAAAAATAACATAAAAGGGCCAGCCTTTTTAAGCCCTGAGCCCGCATGCCTAAGGGTCGGGCTTTAATAATTAGATAATTTTAAAGTATGTGGGCTTAAAGGGCCGCCCTTTTAGGCCCAGCCCTTCAAGGGCTAGTCCTTTAGGGTTGGGCTGGCCCTTATTGACAGCTCTACCTCGAAGTTTAGGTAGGTGCCGTTACCAGAGCTCTAATAGTAGACTGACAACTATTTTTTTGGAGATTTTTACAACTTTAGTAATATAGTTAACAAGATCTTTAACTTTATCAACAAGTCCAGTATAGTAATTGACAACAGGTTTTTTAAAAATTTCAAAATTGGCATTATTTACAACTTTAGTAACACAGTTAATAAATTTTGTAATCTTATTAATAAGTTCAATATAGTAGTTAAAAACAAGTTTTTTGGGTAATTCAAAAAGCGGCATTTTTACAGCTTTAATAACCTAGTTAACAAGTCATGCAACAATATAACAACTCTCATAATGCCATTAAAAAATCTAATAATAAGTCATATAATGATATTAACAACTCTTATAGCCATAGTGGCTTCCTAATAAATGGAAAAATTTTGATATACAACCTTCATAAGGAGCAAATATTAAAAATATCAACCTTTATAGGAAAATTTTGTTAATAACGCTATGAAAATTGTTAATATCCTTACATAACTTGTTAACCGCATTACTAAAGTTGTAAAAATATCACTTTTTAAATTTTCTGAAAAATCTGTTATTAACTGTTATATCGAACTTGTTAATAGCATTACCCAACTTGTTAACTGCCTTACTGAAATTGTAAAAATATCACTCTTAGAATTTTTTGAAAAAAAACTGTCGTTAATTATTATATCGAACTTGTTAATAGCATTAAAGAACTCGCTAACCATATTACTGAAGTTATAAAAAAAAATTTCGTTAATTACAATGGCTCACCTGAACTCTAATGGTCGCCACTAGCACAAGAGCTCCAGTGACCGACCATCTCGTGATGGTGCTTGGTATTTTTTTTAAAAAAACAATAAAAGGCAATATGGTCATTTCAATAAGTTTGCAAATTCTAATTTGGTCTTTTATACCTAAACTAGAATTTTGCTTATTTAAGTAACCATTTTGGAATTTTGAAATTTAGGAATATTTTTCTATAATTTTTCCTTTTTTTATTATGCTAATAATAAATCAATCTTATTTCATGATTTGATTTTTTTTAAAAATGTTTTTTCTCTATTTTATATTTTGTGGCAACTTATATATATATATATATATATCATATAGTCAGTATTCAAATTAATTATAATTAACAGATTATAAGCATCACACTACTTATGATTTTAATAAAGATTAGTAAATTAATTCCTTTAAAAATAATACAATTAATCATCTCAAAGTAGAAACAAATTTGTTGTGTTTGTGTAACCATCTTCATCTTCATCTTGTCATTTTTTTAGTTCTCGGCTGTGGAAACAAATTATCAAGGCCAACCTATTAATATCTAACCACTTGACCTGGCAAATTAGGGATGGCACCCACATCTATCCCATTAAATCATTGACTCTGGTGGCCTTCGTAGCAGTCTGGTCGAAACTTTCCTTCAATAAAAGTTTAAAACCTTATCTACGCTCGAATAGACATTGGAATATCCAACTATTCTCTTCTATTTATACTGGGCAGGTGGTTTGCAAGCTCAATGAATTTCCTTTACCTTTTACACAGCAGCGGGACTGCTTTAGATGGTTTGCCAATTCTTCTGGCCTATATACGGTTAAGGACTGATATCACTTGCTTCTAAAGGATTTTTGGGTTTCCATTCATCACTTCTAACTCTCCTCCTTTACTCAATTCTTAACTAAACTCTGGAAATCTCCCTTATACCCTCACATTGAATTATTTGCTTGGCGGCTAGCTAAAATTATAATTCCTACTTCTATCTTCCTCAAGCAATGTCATCTGGCCACGTGTGAGGCATGGTCCTTTTATTTTTCCGCTAATGAATCACTTGAACATCTTTTTATTTACTGTCCTTTTGCTCGAGCTTGGTGGTTTCGATTTGCACTTGGTTTGAAGGTTGACTCTCACTCTCATTAGAACATGTTGGAGTGGCTTTGTTTCTAGGTAGATAACCTTAATGATTCAATTTCTGTTCTGTCTCTTCTTCCTTTCCATATGTTGGAAGCCTTGTGGTCTGTTAGAAACCAGATTTGCCATGCAGGAAAGACTTTTGTCCCTCAATAGATTATCACAACGGTGACGACAAGATTAGCTCAGTCAGTCATGGCCCTCATATCTCCTGCCAATGTCAACCTTCAATCTTGTATTGATATCCCCAACTCCTTCCCCGTACAACTAATGAGATCTGTTAATTATAACTACTGGACCATTTTCCTTGAACTCTACACAAAGTGGCAAAGTACGTGTATAATTCGCATAACCATCCTTTTTAATTTTGCCCCAGCCTCGGTGCCGATGTTTTGTTAGCTCATAAAACCATCTCATGCTGAGATCATTATGCTTGATATCCATCCCCGGTGGCATATTTCATACCTTCTTCGGATGTTCAATTTCTCCTCCGACCGTTTATATGTTACTCCATCAATCCTTAATATAAGACATATTTAACTAATTTGATTAGATTAAGAAAGTTAGGTATGTTAGTTAATTATCAATAATATGACATGTTTTTTCTAAAACATTATGATTATTTTCCGTAATATCCGCCCTCCCTTTTCTATTTGATTATAGTTGAAGAAGTATTTATAGGGATAATTTAAAAAAAAATGATAAATATAAAAAATACGCTTTATATTTAGGATTAAAACCAACTCAATAATTAAGTTCTTAATCCGGAGGAGTATTACTTTTTATGTTAATGCGAAATTCATATTTTCATTAAGAAAAACGGTTTTTGGGCCTTTAGGGTATAGATGGCATGTTCAGACAAGAGGAAGGAGGTGCAGTGAGTTGGAGGGAAAAGAAAAGCAGGGCATGGGCAGCGAAGAGAACAGGTAAAGAAGAAAAGCTGAGCTCCACAGAGTCACAGTCTCTTCGCTCGCACTCTCGCCGTCCCATCCGTCCATGTTGCCGTCCTCATTCCAGCTCCTGCTTGCTCTGTTCTCCCCCTTGCGCTGCTTGCCCTCTCTGCCTGGTCTCTTACTCAGCAAGTAATTTTATTTGAATTAATTATTCTTCCCCCTGCCTTCACCTTTGTGCTTCTCGTCTTCTCCTTCCATCATCTTTCAGTGAGAAACCGTGCCGGAATCGGCTTTCCTCCCCTACCCTTACTATCCTTTTCTCCTCCTCTACCCAAGACTACACCGTTTTGGGCGAAAAAATGGGGTTGATCCTTTTTGTTTTTATTCTTTCTTATGCTAATAGAATACTGAATGCATTCAAAATTAATTCAGGAAACCGGATGTTATTGAAAAAATAGTTCAGTGGGCAGTTTTCTAAATACTAAGTACTACTGAAAAATAATTTTGGATGTCATGTGTACTAAAAATTATTTTAAGATATTAGATCCACTAAAAATTAGTTTAGTATATTGGGTGTTATTAAAAAAATATTTCAAAATGCAGCATGCTAGATATTGAGTACTATTTAAAAAATATTTTTAAGTACGAGAAAAATTATTTTAGGATATTAGATGCTAATAAAAAATATCTGATTCAAGGACGTTGGCTTGAAGGGAAAAAAAGCAAAAGGGATCAGCTTTTATTTTTTTCCCACCTGAAACAGTGTAGTTTTGGGCAGCGAAAGGGAAAAGGATGGTAAGGATAGTGTTGGAAAGCTGGCTCCAATGGCGCCGTGACAGGGTTTATAGATTATAAAAAATATTTGGATGGATATCAAATCAAAATTTTAAAAATAATTTTATAATAAATAAAGTAAATACATAAAAAAAATTTGTCTTGATTTGTTAAAAAATACTTTTTAAAAATACTTTTCAGGTGTGCTAAACACCCTCTAAAAAATATCTAGATAGAATCAAAATTATAATTGTAATAATATTTTTATAATATATAAAATAAATATGTAAAAAAATTTGTAAAAAAGTTACTTTTCACTAAACCCAAACATTCTCAAAGTCTAATATCAATTAAATTGCACGGCTGAGATTATTTGATAATCAACGACTTGGATGTTGCCGCTAGAACTGTGCGTTTCGAAGACGAGCACTGCTGGCTCAAAGATTCGATGAGCGAGCAGGGCATGCGGACCCGCTTCCGGGTCACCCTGCAATAGCCCCGAATCAGCGCCCTTGCTCTGTAAAGTTTCTTTCTATTCTTCAATAGATTTCTGGGTAATGGTTTTTTTTAGCGGAAAGCTGATTCTGTGAATAGTTTCATACAAGCATAGGAAAAGTCCTGAAATGGCGGGAATAGCTATACTTTTAGATCTGTGGCGAAAAAACCAAAGCTTTAACGCTGGCTTGTATTCCGCCCGGACTTATCAATCTACTCAGTTCTTCTCTGCCTCTGCCGCCGCCACTGCGGCCACCTTCGCCGCCGGAAGCTCTTTTGCCTCACGGGCTTTGTTCGGGTATGCTATCTCTTCATTTCTCGTAGCCAGATGTACATCCTGCGTTTTAAAAAAATTGTTGAAACCGGTGATGGGAAGAAATAATTTGTGATTAGGGGTTTCAATTCAATACTCATGATTAACGTATGCTCTTCCGGGAATTAAATGTACTTATTTGCTTTCTTGGCGATGGAATTTACTAGTTGATCGTTTTGGAGATTTAGTAGAGCAAAGGACCTTAGTTATCAAACACTAACATTATGTGAAGTTATTTGTTTATTTTCTCTTTTTCGCAAGATACTGAACATTATAGTTTAATTCTTGCTAGTTAAGCATTATGCTAGTATTACAACTACTCATTTGCTTTTGCATTGGTTATGGTATGGACTATCCCCCTCGGAAAAATGCGAAATAAGAAGAAAATGTTATATATGTGAATGTTCGCCCGGTGTTTGCTCGTCAAAGGTGGATTTGCTACCTATTTTGGGGGAATTGTTGACTCACTTTTGTGTTTTTTGAGGAAATTAGCAAGGAAAATTTTAATGAGGATCGGTGATGTTTCTCTTAGTGTCATCTTTTGATTGGAGTGCACCGATAGAATCCCTTCAAAACCAATTTTAGTCCCAGATTTACATCTGAATATAATATTATTGCCTGGGTTTTTAATTAATGTTCTCTGCCTTTAAGCTGCTTGTTGGGCTTTCTTTCTTGTTTGTTCAATGAGATCAGATGGATTTCTGGAAGTGATGATTTGTGTGACTTATTTTCCTGTCATAAATTCTTCCCTTGCTTAGTCTACGAACCTTTCAGTTTTTCATATAAGTTAGATGCCTAGAAAAGTTAGTTAACTGAATTAGGGGCTCAAAGATTTGAGTTGTGGGCATGGGTGCACATGGAATGGAAATCCAGCAAGCTCCATCCTAGGTAGAATATTGCAAGAATTGGGTTGGAATTGGGGCCCATCAAGGCCCAATCCTCTTATTTAAAAAAGCAAAAATATTATGACTTCCATGACAATAAATTTTTTTCTGAAGAAAATCATATTTTTAAGGGATTCATAAAAAAACATTTTTAGAGGGCCATTGAATAATTTGTATCCAGTAAAAAAGATACCTGGCTGGCCTGGGATACTGAATTTGCAATCTAGACTTTCTAAACTAAGTTAAAACTGGGTCATGCTCAAGGCTGGGTTGAAACTTGGTCTGTGCATACTTCATACTTTTAGTAATTCCACTTACCCTAAGTTGAATTTCCCCCCTAATTTTTTAGCTTCTATTGTTTAGTGGAATTTTGTTTAGAATTTATTTTGTGTGGATTACTGCAACTGGAATATGAATATCTATTAATTTGGTGAGCTGTAACTTAGATAAATAGATCTACCTCATCTACAAATCTTTGTAGTTGCCCGAAACGAAAAGAAAGAGGGGAGAAATTTGTTGACATTTTTCCTTTCATTTGACTATGTTAAATTCAGGTCACAGGTGGCTTATTCTGATGCTGGTGCAGCTTTGCCTGAAGATTACATTTCTAATATACAAAGTGCATCTGAAAGGGTTTTTAAAAATCACGCTCTGCAGTATAGTACAAAACAATATGATGTCCAACTTAAGCCTCTCTTCTCTGCTTTTGAGTTGAGGACCTTTGCATTGACATCCTTAAGGTCATTTTTGATGTATTATTTGCCTCTTTTGGAGCCCCGTGTTAACATGGAAGATGATGATGACTCTCTGGAGGACAATCAAGAAGATCGTCATGTTGATCTAGTTGTACCCTTCAAAAAGTCAGTGATTCAAATTATACGAGAAGTAAGTTTACCTTATCTTTCCTAGTCTAGGTTCATGAAGTATTATCTGCTGCAAATGTAACTGTTGTGTTAAATTGTCATCAATGATCAATGAATTTTTATTATTTATTTTATCAATGAGTTGTTAGGAATGTGGACATTTGTTACAATTAGTTCATTGACTGATCGAAGCAAGCTTTCAGTCAGAGAATTCAGGACTATCTTTCATTTATTTATATATAACGTATATAGTATGTGCTGTTCTCTAAGTTAATCTACCTGCATTACCTCTTTTCTATTGTTCTGAAAGGGAGATTATATAATAATTGGATTGATATTTTAAACATTTAACTTTTCAATGTTGTTTTAGGCACTGCATTTTACAAAAAAGGTTCCTGTATATTGCATCTATTATTTCTTATATCAGGATACTTTCTCTCAAAATAACCTAATTAGTATTTTTAAACAGTTAATGCAATAGTATGTTGTACATGCTATATCTATGTGTGCATTTGCACTTGCATGTGTGCGTGCCTGAGTGTTGTTAATTTAGGGTTTTGTAATGACCCATTTGGTTCTTCCACAACATTTGTTGCATTGGATAACCTGTATTCTGCTTAAGCCTAATCTATAAACATCAATTTGATGCTAGGGAACTTTTACCTTCTATGAGTTCACCTTCTAAATTAACAAAGCTAATTTTTACTTGATAATTCTATACTATTTCCTGTGGCTCATCATTCTGCATTTGTCCATTCCTTTTCTTATGTTCATCAAATATTTAAAACTGGTGATGAGAAATATTTTTTGGATGCCATTGCAGTCTACTGTTGTGACCACCAGACGCATTTTAGAAAGAATTGCTGTTCATTATGTTTCACAAAGAATGGCATGGAAAATTCTTAAAGGTAACTGTTATAGAAAAGAGCATGTTTTTTTCACCAAAAAAAAAAGAGAGCATGTTTTTACTTATGAGATGCTCTGTGGCTGACATAAAGCAACTTCCATCCAACAACAAGCCTTATCTTACTAGGTGGGATCGGCTACATGCACCGTACAACATTATTGTGCTCTATTAACAACCAAGCTTTCAGATATGTTGTTGATCAGAAAGTTTTGTTCAATGACCTCATTGAGCGTTCTCCTTGTTCTTCCTCTGCTCCTTTTTATAGGACTCTAAACTGTCTCATCTATCATTCTCACCAGTGCCTCTAATGGTCTTCTCTACACATAAAGCAACTTCCATGATAAATAAAAAAGTTTATCAGCCAGGGAGATAATTATTTAATGTGTTATCCTTTCTGTTAGGTCATCTATATAAACATAAGCACACCTGTTTTGAGTCACGTGAGGTCCTTGACATCAATTCTGTGATGAGCTGATGACACACTGTTGAAATGTTACACGTGTCTCTGAATATAGTGCCTTATTGGGGTGCTAGCATAACCTGGACATTCCACTAAAAAGGAGGGGAAGGAAGGGGGGGTGTGGTGGGGCAGCTTGAAACTAGAATTCTATCCCGATGATATTATTAAAATTCTTTCCCAAACTTTTTCTTGTATGTCACATGAATCATTTCAATAATAATATAAGACGATGCTTCTTGCTTTTTCATCTGGAATCATATCACTAGTTGAAATTTTAGAATTTTAAAATTCAAATATTATGCAGATGACAAGAGTTGTTTGTGTGTGTGTGTGTCATGTCCTGTGCCCGAGTCAGTGCATATGCTTGACAGGAACTACTGAGCAGCTGCGTTTTCTGTTCTGAACAGATGTTCCTCAATCAGCTGCTCGCAAGGCTGGAAGGCAAATGCCTACTTTGGTTTACATATATTGCGTGAGCAGAACAACTTTCAGAGGTCAAGACAACTATGAGTTGTTGTTTCCTTATGGTATTTGCTTGAACTTTAGATTTTAACTATCTTGACTTGTGTACAGGGCACATGCTTGGAGTTGCAGCGTCATGGATCGTTCAAGTAGGGATTGATTTATATCGATTCTTTACTTCTGGATTCAAGACTTTACAAGAGGATGATGATGAGAAGCAAGTTGGTGTTCTTGCACAGAGGGTGTCTGTGGCTGCTGTCAGGTGTATTTCATCCTTAATTTTTGCCTCCATTGGGGCTGGAATTGGTGCCACCCTTATTCGTCCTTCACGTGGCCAATGGATCGGTAAGATCATGATTTCTAAAGGAAAAGATTACTGAAATACTAGAAATCATGAGTACATTTATTTTTACTCGGCCATGGCACAACTAACACGTCTGATGCACAGGCCCAAAATTTACTTTTTTGGCTTTGGAAATGCTCTGGACACAATTAGGACATAACTAGTGAAAAAAAGGGGGAAATGACAGGAAAGAAAGGAAGATAAGAAATCTAGAATGAGAGGCTTGAAACCCATCTTTAGTTGAATAGATTTTCTTGGAGAATAAAAGTGGATGGTACTTAACATACAAGATAAAGTCTTGCATGTATATCGAGAGTTGAGTTTTGAATACAAAAATTGCTAAAATATTACAAAGCATACACTTATTTTGACTCTGCCATGATATACTGGTGACACATGTCCGATGCACATACCTGAAATTTGTTTTTTGGTCGGCTGGTCACGGACATGCCCTGGACAAGGTTTTAGACATAACAAGTGGGGAAAAAGAAAAAAGAGAAAATGGCAGGAAAAACCAGAAATCCATCTGCTTATTGAGTGGGTCTCTTTTTTTTTTTCTTTTTGTTTGGGGGGGGGGGGGGTTAATGCCACAAGGTACACAACCCACAAGATGATGTCTGTTGTCTGATGTCCATACACGAGTTGCTGTAATTCTGTGACTAAGCCGTGACTAAGCCATGTCAAGCTGATTTAACCGTCTTTCTTTCCACTTTTAAATTCATATTCTTCAGGGTGTGCTGTTGGTGATTTGGCTGGTCCTGTTATTGTAGCCGTCATTGCTGACAAATATTTTCATGTGACACTTTAGTTCTGGTACTGGGTTATCTTTCATGAGCTCAATTCTTTAAGCCGAAGCTTGTTTATGATCCAGCTTTTACAGTTTACACTAGTTAGATGTACATTTTTTTTAATTGCAGCCCCTCTCAAGGGGGTTTGCCTTGTCTTGATGTAACAAAAGCGACTTGTAGCATAAAAGAAATGCTTTTCCATTGGACATCATTACTTTTAAATGGATATTCATCAACTTCCAGTCATATTAGTTAGTATTTCAATGCATTTTGTGCATTTACTCTTGATTTATTCTTGCCTTTTCTCGTTTGAACCATGAAAAGTGTGCATGCGCCAACGGTTTGCTACAGGAATTTTTGCACATTTTTGTGAGAGAGGATAATTGATAGCTGATAATGGATTGGAAATTTGGATTCAAAATATCACGAGGTTTGGGAGATTTTTAGATATCATTTAAGATTATTCTTTTCAATCATATGGTGTATTAATTTGTGCTATAATTTTAAATTTCTTCTATTCCCTAGTTATAAAGCAGGAAGAAAATATTTTATTTGATTTTATTTATAAATTTTACTTTATTTTTCATTTACCATCCAGTAGACTGTTTTTTCCAAAAATATATATTTATTAAATAGAAGTAAAGTTAAAAATTTGTTAAATTTTAAGGCAAAGTTAATTGGGTTTAATATTATTCTTGATTTGTATTATAAAACATTATTATGCAGAGAATAATATGGAATATATTTCATATTTTATTTGTGTCCTGTTGAGATGAAGTATTTTTTTTATCTTATCTTGAATAAAATGATAGTCAATTTCAATGTGTTTTTGCATTCATTTAACACCGAATTAGAAGTTATGTGTAAGGCTGTTTTATTGTCATACCACTGTTTTGCTAGTAACAAGGTTTTAAGACCAATCTCTTTCAGTAACTAATGTATCCAAACTATCTCAAACACAGATTATGTCATAGCTCTATATTCTGTCTCTACATTCATTCCACTGTGACACCATATTTTGCTTCTTGCTCCTTCAAGACCTCAAATTTCCTCCCACATACATAATATCCTATAGTCGATCTTTTCATGGCTTTTGAACTACTATGATCAGCATCACAAAAACACTCAATATCTTTGTGACCATGATCTCTGTACAATATCTCACGGCTTAGAGACCTCTTAAGATAATGAAACACATGCTCTAAGGCTTCTCATTGTCTGACAATATATGAGACCATAAACTGGCTAAGTACACTTACTAAATAGGTGATATCAGAATGGGTCACAATAAGATAATTCAATTTTCCAATCAATCTCTTATACCTCTCAGGATTTTCAAACGGCTTCTCTTAGCAGCATCAACGGGATTCTCAAATGATATGCTTCCATCAGTGTCAAGTAACGGGTTAGAAACCATAGGGGAACTGTTTGGTGTAGCCCTTAGTTTTTCAGTTTCCTTCAGCAAATCAATAACATATTTTCTCTGAGTCAATAAGATGCCTTTCTTACTTCTCAGGACTTCAATTTCGAGGAAGTACTTCAACAAACCCAGATCTTTCGTTTGAAAGTGAGAATTAATAAAGGACTGGAGTGATGAGATCCCCGAGATATTACTCCTTGTAATCACAATGTCATTTACATACACAACCAATAGAAATCATGCTAGTGTCTGTCTCTGATAGAACATAGAGTGGTCACACTTACTTTGACACATGCCAAACTTCTACACAACAGTACTGAACCTGTCAAACAATGCACAAGGACTCTGCTTCAAGCCATATAAGGATCTCTTGAGGCGATATACTTTCCCACACTCCCTTAAGCAACAAAGCCTAGGTAGTTGCTCTATGTAAACTTCTTCAAGAAGATCACCATGCAAGAAGGCATTTTTGATATACAACTGATAGAGATCCCAGCCATAGGTTGTCGCCATAGAGATGAAAAGGCGAACAGAGGAGAGTTTCGCTACGGCTGAGAAAGTTTCAAAGTAATCAACACTATAGGTCTAAGCATAGCTTTTAGCAACCAGGCAAGTCTTAAGACGGTTAAGGATACCATTAGCTTGAGTTTTAGGGGTTAATACTCACTTACACCCAATAGCCTTCTTTCCTGCTGGTAAATCTACTAAGACCGAGTACCAGCTTGGTTAAGGGCCGCCATTTCCTCCTCTATAGCAGCACACCAACCCACATGGGGTAAGGCTTCATGAAGGGTCTCAGGCATTGAAATAGTATCTAAGGAGGTAAGAAAAGGCATGAGACGCAGGGGAGGTGGTTATATGAAACAAAGAAAGAAATAGGATGAGTGCAAGTACGTTTACCTTCGCGAAGAGCAATGGACAAGTCAAGTAAAGGATCTGGATTGGGAACAGGAGGTGTCTTAGAGTCAGAGACAGGGTCAAGCTCAGGATTAGAGATGCTCAACTTAGGATCTGATAATGAAGCAGATAATGGAGGACCAGAATCTAGGTCGGTGACATTGGTCTTCTTCGAACGTCTTGTGTAAACATGAGACAAGGGTGGTTGAATAGGTACCTGACTAGGAGTTGGAGTCGGCAGCGGCGACGAGGTAACAGAGTACATCAAAAGATTTATTAAATAGAAGTTGCAAATTTGTGAAATTCTAAGGCAAAGTTAATAGGGTATAATGTTATTCTTGATTTGTATTATAAAACATATTAGAAGTGAGCAATAAATAGGATTACAAGAGTATTTTAAAATTATAATAGACTGAACAAACCAACCCCCTATAGTTCATTGACTTCTAATCTCACTAATGTGGTTTCCAAGTTTTGACCCAATTTATTAAACTAGGTCAAAACCATGGTTTTTCATGAAAGTAATACTACTTTTGGTTCTTAATATAAAACCTAATTAGCTAATTTGAAAAAATTAAAAAATTGTTAAATTATTTTGAAGTATTTATATTTATAATTTTTATTCAAATTAATGGGCCTTATTTATAAATTAATATATAATCTAATTATTCATGTAAGTATTTTTTTAAAAAAATCATGTAACATATACTACAGTTAAGTAATTTAGTAACTTTTTTAATCACTTCAAATTAGTCAACTGAATCTTATATTAAGGAATATGGGTGGTATTTTTTTTATATGATATTAAATCTCAGCCATTTAAAGTTGATTTGATGGTGAAGACAAACAAGTAAAGGAAAGTGAAAGGTAAGAGAAGTGGAGAGGCTCTCTTTAGCGGTGAATGAAAAACCAGACAGGGTCGACTGGTTTGGACCGAAAACTAGTGAAACAACTTGAAGTTTGGTTTGGTTCATAGATTAAATTGGGGAACGGTTTGAACTAATCAAAATCGGTGTGAACCAATAATGAATTGGTTTGAATGATTATGTTGTTATTGGTTCTATTTTTCCTCAATTAGCTTCTAATATCTGAGTCATTATAAATATGAATGAACTTTAGTGATGCTTTTGCTATCAATGATTATTAATTTTAGTTATTAAGAAATCATAAAATGAACAATGTTGTTATACTTTGCTATTAATACAATTAAACTATTGTGTTTCCTTGTATTTTGTTATTAGTGATTTTTAATATTGTTGTATTTTTTTATTTTTAATTAAATTATATTATTTTAATATGATAAATCTGATTCTGAGTTGATCTCGATTTGATGTACTAACTCTTAAACTAGTATCTTGACTAGTCACCAGTTTATGCCATCCGGTTTATTTGTTCCTTGCGCTTTAGCGACTTGTAACATCACTAGGTTCTCTTTTTTGTCGCGCCTAGCCGGTTTACTGTATCCCCTTATTTATGTGGGAAGTTAATATTTTATGAAAGATCAAAACCTGTGTTAATGGGATTTGTTTAACTGACAAACCACCGCCCTTTGATATACTACTTTTCATAAACTAGGACGAAAAGTGTTCTTTTAGTGACGTAGAAAGTCAGAAGAAAGTCAGAATTGTATGATAAAAGTCACAATTTCCCAAGTCAAGCATTGCGCGCGCCCCATACACACACACAGAGAGAGATATATATATATATATATATGTACATTTTTCCAATACTTAATATAAAACATAATTATTAGATTATTTTAGTCCTAAATACAAGATCTATTTATCATATTTATTAATTTTTCTAAGTTACCCATGTAGATATTCCTTCAACTATAATCAAGTAGAAGAGACAGAAAGAATATTAAGAAAGATGATTATGGTATTTTAAGAAAAATATGTCATATTTCTTATAATTAACTAACTTATCTAACTTTCTTAATCTAATCAAATTAGTTAAATAGGTCTTATATTAAGAACCGGATGAGTATATATATTACTTCGTATTCTTAATATAAGGTTAAGCTAACAAATTAAATTTTAAAAAATTAAAAAACTAAAAAAATTACTTTAAAATATTTATATTTATTATTTTCAAATTAATTTGTCTAATTTATAAACTAATATATAATTTAATAATGCATTTCAAAAAGATAATATAACATATATTATAATTAAATAAATTTTTTTTGAATTAGCCAGTCGAGTCTTATATTAAGAACCAAAAGTAATATATGGTATTATTTGGACCTGAGTTTGATACCAACAAGGTTCAAACTCATACAATCATATTATATCCATTCACATGCGAAGTCAAAATTTTATAAAGTATCAAGATTCTTTAACCGATAAATTACCACGCTCTTATAGGCTACTCTCCATTAATCCACATGAAAATTTTTCTTTAACTGGCTCTACATCTAGGACCGGAGGGAATATATTATATAAAGTTTGAAGCAAGTCACATTTATAAATAACGCGTCATGCTATATGTTTGATCAAACCATGTAGCATGTAAGAGTATGAGATTGGCAACATCACCATGATGACAAAGCTTTCTCAATGAGTTTTCAATGGGAAGCTTGACTCTAACACTATTGGTTAAGGCTTTTGTACTTTTAATTGATCCATAATTAAACGAACTTTATACTTTATATTGAATTTTGTTATTAATTTTTAATTTTGCTTTTAAACACTATTTTCAATGGTGTTTTGATGTTATTGAAATTCGTTTACTCTTGAGCTTAGGATAACTCCACATTCTAAAGATTAGGGATACGAAAATGTTCACATAACATATATAATTTAAATATCCAAATACTAATTTAAATTTCAATCTACATATATGTATGATTTATGATTGTATATGACAAAACTCACATTAAAGTATTTTATAAAAATGGTTGAAATATGTGAAATTTCCGATAAAAGTTATTTGAGAAATCAATT